TAGATTATTTGATTATGAATAAGAGATGAGTTATTATACATGAGAATTCAACTTATACATGTTATGATATAATCAAGACTGGGCGGATAGTAAAATGTGTGATTCTATTTTAGTTTCACATCCCGACGAGGAAAAGAAACTAAGTCAACAATCTCACATTTTACTGTCTACCAGGTCTTCGTTATATATAACTTGGAAATGTATGAGTGAGGAAATCATACTAATAACCTTCTTACTAACCCTTCATAATTGAACTAGAATTCCTAGTAAGGGCTATCTTTGGACCTAGATGTGTTTCAATCGTTCACAAAAGGAGTAGGAGTATGTTCTCGAAGGTTTGACCTACATCCCTATGATGCAGTCCTGGTATCAAGGTAGGGGTATGAGTATCGGAAAGCCATAAGATGGGGGTCGTTCCTACTAAGTTATCTTTATATTTGGAGAGAATCACTCTCCGGCTCTGGGAAGATCTGAGGACAGTTCAGAACGAAGACCGCGGGAAGAAAGGCTCATGAAGAGTTATGGCTAAACACTCTCAATCGAGGTTTTGGGATACGATCTAATCGTATTACTTGCGACGGGAAGAGACGATTTACTTAACACATAGTATGAGTAGTGTAATCACTAACTCACTAAATTGTATTATTTTATGGGTGTATTAGCGCGACAATAACGAGGAAAAGGCACTTCTCGGGTTCCATGTATTGGCTTCCTCTGTCTACCTCTTATCCTAGACTGGGACTGATGTTGGTTTTCTTCGGATAGATACCTAGGGTTCTCTTCTCGTGTAGACATATTGGATTTCTACTTCGTCTTACTTACAATTCTAACTCTGAGTGTCATCGCTTTATGATGGATGACTGGAAATCTCGGAAGTTCAGGCGAATTTCCCACCGATGTCCCTAAAGGGTATAGGCACTTGGTGGTTTCAATAGTCTCGACCTAGTTCATTTATTTCCGAACTGGAAATTTTCTTAATGAACTTCTTCTGGATCTGGATCAACTCTTCTGTCGAACACTGAAGTGGATAAGGTTTTCTACAGGGTTCGTACGAGAATAGAAATGTCTAAAGAATCCTAAGAGATTATTAAAACATTTCACTGGGTGATCCATATCGAGTCCTGCTACAATTACATAGGGTACACAAATTATATATAGCTTAGATCTGATAGGACTTCGAATATATGATACTACTCTACATCCATATCCCAACGAGGAAAAGGAAGTACAACGAAACCACACATTCTTAACCTATGGAATCCTTACTATGCAAAATCTTGGAAGTATACCCCCTGTAATCATAGGTATATCAATAAGGGATCTTTTTAGTTTTTCACACAAGGTTATCTATGGATCCTAAAATACCCCTATGGTATTTTAATTACTTGATTGGCTTTTTAACTTCTTAATATGATTCTGGGATTAATGTGAGTCTTTTAGTATTCCAAAATACTCCCATAGTATTTTAAACTTTACGTTTGGCTCTAGAATTCCTGTTTGGTAAGTTTCAGATTCGTTGCAACACCACCATCACTCCCAAGCACATGTTGATCGCATCTCGAATAAATGTAGTTGATCAGGTTACATTTATTCCAGCTTACAATTACATAACTTCCCAGGTTTGTCGGTAGTGGTCGACATCCAAAGACTTTTATTTTGTTCTTGTTGTGATACTTTTGTTCGAGTGTTTAGATTCTGAATGTTCTTATAATTTGGTAAAACATGGTTATATTTTAAAGTATAATTCTTTGTCGGAATGTTTTATCCCAATGTATTTATAGGTTGTATATCTTTTATGAATTGATATACTGAGCTCACTATAAACAATGCTCTGATACCAATCTGTCACACCCCAAAATCGGAACGGCGGAAACGTTCTGGGGTGAATGATGTCATGTCAAGTATCGCAACATATGCAGTATAGTAATCAAAGTACAACAACCATTGAATTAATAGTAATAGTTTTACATAGGTTACATTTCATAACAACATCAAAGTAATACAATAAATAATATAGATGCAGCTCAGTACTAGGTTGTCTCCGCAAATGCTCCCGGGATGTACCTGTCTATCGATGACCTGAGAATACAAGTGATTTTGAAAGCGAGTATCAACATTTTTATAATGCTGGTGAGTTCATAAGTATTTAGTGTAATTTGTATAAATACACATTTTTATTCAAAATAACTTTATGAAAGATAGTAGTTTAGAATCTACGGTGTATTAGCATCCTTGCCAGATAATCCTATATTTTCTAAATAAAAGAAGTCTTCTACCAAGACCCGACGGATCTACGTTTTAAGGAGTAATTTCCCCCAAAAATACTATCATTACCAAAATACAGTATTGACTTTAAAGGAATAATGAGAAATCCACAAATAAAATACCAAGGGAAAATAATATATACCTCAAATGCAATACTGCTAACTAAAACAAAAGAAATCATAGACTCCAGGCAGTATAAAATGAACGATACAGCTAACAAAGTCTAAAACAATGGGTGAATGTGAACTAGTATGTAACCATGTTGATAGACGATAGAGTATCCGATGACCCACCAGATCACGCGTAGAGGTAGTGGCATTATGTCACCCATGGGCCTTACCGGCACGGACTGTAGCTAGTAGTCTGGGTGTGGGAGTGTCAGTCCCGTATAGATCTATACACATGATGTTCGCTCTCCTTCTCGGAGACTCTGATTACACGGCGTTGGCGCAATGAAGCGTCGTAGAGGGAAATACGGTGTCACATTCTAAAGCAAAATATATATATATATATTATATATATAATATATATATATATATATATATATATATTATATATATATATATATAAGACAGAGATAGAGATAGAGATAGAGTCTCCTAACTATTCCTATAATAGTTACTAAGGTTCTAGAAACGTGAATAATAGAAGGTTGCCTTTACTACCCAAAGGCGATGAACTAGCTGAGGGAGAGAGAGAGAGAGAGAGAGAGAGAGAGAGAGAGAGCTTTTATGTCCATATATGTATACGTGATATATAATTAATGTTTAAACGACCTTCGGACGCATGCCTGATACCCACCAGACCACATCCCAACGAGAAAAAAGAAATAGGGCGAACTAACCTTCCTAAGTCCTTTAAACATTATTTATATAATTATACAAATATAGGCATGCATTTAACGAAGTAAAAGCATAGAAGAAAACTTTAGTAAAAGCTTTATACTTAATAATTTACGACTTGCTGTCATCTTGCAAAACAAGCTTTGAAAAAGGTTTTTATAAAACAGTTTAAGTGAAGAAAACCTTTGAAAAACCTTTAATAAGCCATTATGACTAGATGTCTCTTTAGCAAATGCACTTTGGAAAACTTTGGATAAACTTTAATGATCTAAAAAGAGATATTCATACTTTAACAGGATTTGAAACCCTGATTTAAAAATCTTAATTTGATTAAAACAGTTAACATGCAAAATTCTAGTTGGTATACAGTTATTAATCACATGTGATTTATCTAACAACTTTACAATTCAATTTGTATTCCCGCCCACCCCTATAAAAGCAATTAAAATCATTTAAAAGGTTAATTCATGGGTATGAACTCACCTGTGGCAAGTGGATCCGATGGTAGTGTCGGTCGAGTACTCGCTGTCAAGTGAAGACTTGAACACACTTAATCACCTAGTAACATATGATGTTATATGTTTACATACAATTAGTGATTATAAAACTATTTAAACACGTATAAGCATCCTAATGAGCGGAAAACACTTTGGTCGAGTACTAGAAGGCTATTGAGTTGCAATAAGGGAGTGTATGGCCTAGTTAGGGAGTTTACTCTTCAAGAGTAAACTCTTTATGGAAATTTCGGCCCTAAGACCATATCCCCATGAGTTTACGGCCGTAAACTCATGGGTGGTGTGTTCTTAGATGTTTTAAGGTCTTATATCACTCTTAGAATTAGGCTAGGTTCATATTTAGGGCATATGAAGGGGTTAAGGCTCCAAATGAACCATTTAAGGGAGTTCACGGCTGTAAACATAGAGTTTACGGCCGTAAACTCTCACTTGGTCCTTCAACTCATGATTTAAGGTCTTAAATGAAAGAGTATAAGGTTCTATGCATTTTTCCAATCCAAAGGGAAAATTAGGGCATCATTTGGCTTTCTTAAGGGAGTTTACGGCCCACGGACCAATCCTAGGGGGTTTATGGCCGTAAACTCCTAAGTCCATTATTTCCTTGATGTTTAATCCCTGTACTTCATTGGTGGTTGATTCTAGACATTTACCCAAGCCATAGGAGGTGTTTAATGGAAAATTTAACACCTTAATTGGTGTTCACGGCCCAAGAAGAGGGGTTTACGGTCCAAGAGTGTTCTTGGGCCGTAAACTCTTGTTTACTCCTCAATATACAAGGTTTTGGTGTTCACATCTGCGCCGGTTTCCAGTCATCCTGTGCAAATGAATCATTGTTTAAAGCCTAAAACCCTCCATAAAAAAACTGGCAACTTTCATGAGTGAGTGAGTATAGTAGTAAACTAAGTTGATGCCATGAGTAGCAACATGGAATGATTTGAAGCCCATTAACAAAAAAAAAAGGCTTAGTCCTTTGACATATGGAATCCATGTTTCACCATCATATAAAGAAAAAGCCATTTATTTGTTACCTGAACCTTCAGTGGAAGAGTAATCAAGACTGGTGGCCGTCCCATATCCACCACCTCAGAACCACATCCAAGTTGCAACCCTTTCCAACTTCCCTGAAAAACACCTTTTACAATATTTTCAATGAGAAAATATATCAGTCACTTGAGTACAAACCAATACCATCAACTTCTTATAGTATAATAAAGATGGTCACATAACACCTGTTCTAACCATACATAAATGAAACTCCATTAACAAAAAATGTAACTTGAACTGCTAAACACCAGAGTTTCAAATGTGGCTCAGTGCTTTCCTTCCTCCAAGACCCTTCTACTTTGTTCTTTTGAACAGTCTTAACATTTCCAACTTGTCAAAGATTGCTGATCCAAAGAATTTCCAAAATCGAAGGGTTAGAGAGTACAAAGTGTATGCAAAAGTAGAAAAGATCGGTCAATCCCCTATAATTTAAGATAAAAAGGTCAAATGACAAATAATTTAATGGAGATACAATGCTATAGTCGCAATTTCTAAAAGCATGCAGACTTACCTGAGATTGTTCGCAATAATGAGGTGCTCCGATTCCGCCAAAAGTCGTCGTGAACAAAAAGGTTTGAAATTGGAGGCATCTATGCTGAGGTCGGGCTATGTAGTTGTAAAATCGATGAAAAAAAAACCTTTAGTACCAAATTGAAGAAAAATAAAACGAATACCTACATGCTTCCATCCATGACTGAATAACAATCTGTTCAAATCAATCCACTAAAATTTAAAAAAAAAAAAAAAAAAAAAAAAAAAAAAAAAAAAAAAAAGAGTAGAATCGAACAAAAAAAAAAACATACATGAGGCTAGAAAGTTACCTCCGCGATGTATGGCCTAAACACACACCAAAATCGCAGCTCTATTTAAAGTCGACAGAAGGTGTTCGCCGGAATCGCTACCCTCACGGGAAAAATCCGCCACAGCCTCACCTCTCACTCTCGTTGTTTCTGTCACTCGGTATCTATCTCTGGTAGATTTAGTTACCATCTTCAGAAGGTGGTGGTATTTGTTAGTCTAAGGTATCCTGCCTGTAGCCCTAACGTACGGAAAGGCACGACGGGAAGAAACAAAAGGATGCTCGTGACAGTCGATACCCAACGGTCTCTCTGATCAGTGTGATTTTATTGGGAGAAGACGAGGCAACCTCCGGTGCAGTGACGGGAGATTAAAAGGATATGAGAAGGATATAGAAGATTGTAGGTGTTTGAATGTAACATTGGGTTTTTTTTTGAAGAAGAAGAAGAAGAAGAGGATGTAGGTCAATGGCGATGGCGTTGTGATTGGTTAAAGAAGACGGTACAATGTGTGGCCTGGAAACGAAATTTTGTGGCAAAAGAGGAAAGAGAAAGAAGTTTACTTTTCCCCAAGCTTTTAAGCTTTTATGTTATATATAATCTAAATTGAACCAAAAATATATAATTAAAGGATGTACAGTACCACACTTGTTTCCGTTTTGAAAAACTAAAACATTTACAATCTACAAACTACATTTGAAAAAAAAAAATATATATGTTAACTTATTCGGCCTTTGAAAAAAATTGTTTATTTATTAAAGTAAGAAATGTTTTTATTTTTTTATTTCTTTTTTAACTTAAGATAAGGACCACAGTTTTATAATATTTATATCTGATTTATACAATTGTCATAACAAAGTTGTTTGGAAACACTCATATCATATATCTTACATTAACTTCTAAGCATTTTGATCTAGTTTATAATACTAGCATGCGGTTAAACCTCATCGCCATCGTCATCATTAATTCTTACATAAGATGATTTTTATAAACTTATTACAAACATATTTATTTTTTAGTCAAATAAATAAGATAAAGCTCTTTGAATAATACAATTGTCATAACAAAGTTGTTTGGAAACACTCATATCATATATCTTACATTAACTTCTTAGCATTTTGATCTAGTTTTATAATACTAGCATGTGGTTGAACCTCATCGCCATGGTAATCATTAACTCGTACATATGATGATTTTTATAAACGTATTACAAACATATTTATTTTTTAGTCAAATAAATATGATAAAGCTCTTTGAATAAAAGAAAATGTGAGTAAACATGATGACTATAATAGGTTAAATAACCAGTGACAATAAGTTAGGATGGGTTGTCTTTCCTTAAATTTATGAAATATTGTGATAGGGCTAATCTCCAAAGAATTAAGATGAAGAAGGCATACTAAAATAACATAACGATTTCAATAACTTTTCTGCTTAATTCATTAACCTAACATACATCAATTTAAATAACAATGAAATGGAAGTGCTAGCTAAAAATTAGGAACATGGAGTAATGTAATTAATGCTACTAACTATCTCGTAGTAACGGGAGAATGCATGAAAAACTATAAAGGCAGTAACGTGGAATTGTAGGACTCCAAACGTGCATAAGCATGCAAAGATTTAATGACAATCACAATCCACAAGGTGTTGCAAGAGTGTCGCAAAAAGCTTGCCCATTTAATGTATAACATCTTTGATGGGTCCGGCCATGGAGGCGGCCTTCGGTATGGCTCGAGACACGTATCATATTGGCTAAAGATAAACTTGATGTAGAACATATGCAGACTTAAGCTGGTTCAAGGATATGGTGTTGTTATATAGCTAGAAGGGATATTGGACGGCCATTGAATATTTTCACGATGGGCGGGGGAAATAAGATATAAGTATTTTGAATAATAGAACCTTATTGAAGGACTACACAATTAGTCTTTCGAGAAGACTAAACAGGTTATTGCAACAAGTTGTATTCAAGGACTAAACAATCAGTCTTTCGAGAAGAACGAGGACGATATCAATGTTAACCTGGGATTATGAGGAAGAGGCAAGGTAAATCCAAACGTGTGAAATTTTTATAAATCTTGTCATTTAGATGTAAGGGCGTTATTGTCCATTTAATGTTTTGCATCTAAATATGCTATGTTTATTTTAAAGGCGGTGGTTGTAAGCATTGATCCTCCTAGACAATATTTGACAAGTGAAGATGAAGTTAGATTCAATGTTATTAAACTAGAAAACCTTTGGTGAGTAAGAGTAGAATTATCAATTATGTATTTTATGTTATACAATAAATTTGAATAACTTATAATTTTTTTGTTTTGTTAGGCCCAAATGAGGAAGAGTATGCCTGGTATCACTGCATCAGTGCACTGTAAGTGTTGTAAATAGCAACATATTTTTATGTTTGACCAAATTTTTTTATTTTGTTGTATAGATGATGTTTATTGTAATATTTATTAATTGTTTTTTTTATTGTAATGTGTAAATAGCCCTTACATTTTGTTGTATAGATGATGTTTTTGTAATGTGTTAAGGGAAATCTCCAATAAAATCCTAAAATTTTAGCCCGATTTATGTTTTAGTCCTAAACTAATTTTTGCTTACGAAAAAGTCCCAAAAACCGGCAAAAGTTTGCATTTTGACCCTTTTTCACTGGTTGGAACCGATAACAAAATAATTTGGGACTATTTCATAAATTGACCCAAAATATTGGGACTTTTCTGTAAAAACAAAAAAAATAGGGTTTTCTGCAAACAAAAACCTTATTATTATTATAATTATTATTATATTAAAAATATAAATAAATATACTATTTTTTAAATTTGTTATTATTATATTGTTAATAATACATATAAATACATTTAAATTAAAAAAATATTAAAGACATTTTATAAATGTGAAGGTTGAGCGGATAGTAATGCTTTAAGCTTTGAAATCATGAATGTCTATTTGTATATTCTAACTTTGTATATGGTCATTTCACATTTGTTATTAGTTTTTTTTACTCAAAATATTAACATTTAACAATTTAAAAGAAGCTACTGATTTTTCAAATTGTTTACAAATAGTGAGTATGTGATATGCGTGTATGTGTTGTGTGTAAGTATTTGAATTACCAACATGTGTGTTGCTCTTTTTCATTACTTTATCCTTGTGGTTTTTTTGAAAACATAGCAGATCTAGTGTGATAAAGCAGAACAAGTCATATTACTTTCTATTAAATAAGATATTTTAATTAATATTTTTGAATTTTGATATGGGCCACCAATGTAAATATTTATTGTGGATCTGTTGGATTTGAAAAGAAATCAATCTACCTTAAGAAACTTTATATAAAAAGTGAGAAGTCCTTTTATCTTAAACTATTTATACACAATTTTAAAAATAGGCAACTTCTTTTAAATTGTTAGGTGTTAATATTTTGAATTGAAAACAATAATAAGAAATGTGAAATGATCATATACAAAGGAAGACATACAAGCAGATATTCATGATTTCAATGCTTAAAGTATTACTATCACCACCAGCTTCACCTTTAAATTATTTCTTTAATATATTTTTTTTATTTAAGTGTATTTATATGTATTATTAAAAATATTAATAATAATGAATTTAAAAATTAGTATACTTGTTTATATTTTTAATAATAATAATAATAATATGGTTTTTGTTTGCAGAAAAGTCATAATATTTTTTTTTTGCAGAAAAATCCCAATATTTTGGGTCATTTTATGAAATAGTCCCCATATTTTAGATCAGTTTATGAAATAGTCCCAAATTAATTTGTTGCCGGTTCCAGCCGGTCAAAAAGGATCAAAATGCATACTTTTGCCGGTTTTTAGGACTTTTTCATAAACAAAAATTAGTTTAGGACTAAAACGTAAACCGGGCCAAAATTTTAGGATTTTATTGGAGATTTCCCATGTGTTAATGTAATGAATTTTTATTTCATTTTGACCAAATTAATTGTTTTTAATTTAAAAAAAATTATTGTTTTTTTTTTTAAAATAAAAAGTAATTAGCTACGGATTAACTACAAAAAATCCGTAGCTATTTACTTCTGTAGCTATTTAGTTCCGTAGTTATTCAATTCCATAGCTATTCAGTAGGAAATCCGTAGCTATTTATTTCCGTAGCTATTCTGTAATTATGGTAACTACGAAAAACTACGTAACAATTCCGTAGCTATAATTTAGCCACAGGCCATGATGCTAAAGACATTTTTCTGTAGCAATTTCGTAGCTATCCGCTTATAGCTACGGATTGTACTGTAGCTATTGAACCATTTCTAGTAGTGGCAGAATCCTTTTAAGGAGTTGTAGCACCCATAAACCGAGGTCAGATGTTTTCATGTAAAAGTTTGTGAATTCAAAACACTTTATTTTTATATTAAATAACTAGGAAGGAGAATATTAATCAATAATAAGAATTATTAATTAAATACTAAAAAAATAATAATTTAAGGCTTAATAATAAATAAAGTAAATGATTAAAAGTGGTTATATCATATTTGAATATTAATACGCTGAATGAATAAAAACAATTAAGAGTAAATTACACGAATGGTCCCTATGGTTTGGAGTAATTTGTACGCTTGGTTCCTAACTTATTTTTTTAACTCGGAATGTTCATACTGTTTGTTTTTGTTACACGTTTGGTCCCTAATATTTGTCTTTGTTACGCATTTTGTCCCTGTCTTACCTTAAAAGACCATTATTTAAATAGGGAAAATGATGTGATATGTAAGGTAAGGTGAGGGAGGTGAGGTTGGGGTGTGTTTATTTAAATAAATTAAAAAAGCAAAGGAAAAATAGTCTTTTTAGGTAAGACAGGGACCAAACGCGTAACAAAAACAAACAGTAGGGACCTTCCGAGTTAAAAAATAAGTTAGGGACGAAACGTGCAAATTACCCTAAACCATAGGGATCATTCATGTAATTTACTCAAAAATCATAAAGCATTAAAATATAAATTACAATAAATAGAAAGCAACAACGAATCATTTAGATGTTTAGGGGTCTTTATAAACTGACAATTAAAGAGGTACCAAGTATCTCGAGGAAGTAAGGTTTTGGAAGCAAATTGACCAAAATTGAAATACCAGGTTATAAACCACTTTCCTACGGTGAAACCCTAAGCAGTCACACTTGGACAACCACGAGGTGCAATGACATATCAGAATGGACATGGATGAATATGTATGGTACCTTTTATATGATGTTTAAAAGTATTATTATATATATATATATATATATATATATATATATATATATATATATATATATATATATATATATATATATATATATATATATATATATATATATATATATATAAGTTTAGATTATTTTGTTTTTACTAACTATTATGTGTCATAATGCATAAATCTAAACCACTGGATGAAATAGAATTGAGAGTCTACAATAGGGTAACATGTACCATATGATCACATAAATTTTAGCATAAGGGTATTTTTGTCAAAATGATCTATATTAAAAAAGAAATTTTCATATTTTAAGGGATATGTAAAAATCGGAAATTTTTTTAATATTAATTCTAATATAGTTTTTAAGAATAACCGATTTTATTCTATTAGAATAACAGAGTCAACCGTAAACTAGTAAAGATATTTACAATTTTATTCTTGCAGAATATGGTTATAATCAAAATATTTTTTCTAATATTAACATGCTTAAAGAGTTGCGTAACATATTATCAAGAATTATATTTTCTAAAGAATACGGATTTTATTCATATAGAAAACTCGTATATTATTAACTTTGTTTAAGAATCAGGGACCGAAAATAAACAAGAAAACACATTGCAATCACATTCTATAAGAATACATTGTTTTAGAGTTAGTAATTCTTATAATCTCCATTCGATAACTATTGTTCATCTCCGTCTCACACTCCATGTCTTGATGACCATTGTTCATCTCCATCATCCAACCTTCAAGCCTTTGATCATCATGTTCCCTTCATGCATTCTATGAGAAATTTGCAAGAAATCAAGCATTTTATGAGAATAACTGTCATAAAATCAAATTATGTAAGAATAACATTCTGTGAGAATACTTTTATATGACAAATAATAAAACAAACTTTGGTAATTTTGACAGAATATATTTGGTCTATTTTAAAAGAATATATGGATTATTTAAAAAACATACACATCAATAATTTAATTCTGTAAATTTTGTTACAAAACATAATTATTTGGATTCTTTAATTTTAATTTTTTGTAAAAAAATAAAAAGCTTCCCTTTTTGTTGTTTATATGAATTGGGAATATAAATTAGATATATAAACAAAGAAAGAATTGATCCTACATATACTTATTGTTTTTTGTTAGCTAGAGCAAAAAACAAATGATTAATATCAAGTATTCTAATAAAATATAATCATCGAGTCACTTGGTCAAGTAATCCTCGAGTCGCTTGATCCAAATAATCGACTTAATCTAATATAGTGATTCTAGATACTATGGTGTAGCTAACACATAGGACAATACGTTGGAAAAAAATCATCTTATTACAAGTTAGTATGTGGGAGATATGGCAGTTCAACGATCACAAAATTTTTTGAACCAAGTAAAAGTGCTAAAATTATAGCTATAAAATCCCATGTTCGAAGGCCTGTAACCGAGCCACTATTAATCCAAATAAAATAACTTCATAATGTAACTTGTAGCTAATATAAAGGAGAATATGCAGAAAAAAAATTCAAATCAATCCAAGCTAGTACAAGAGAGATATGACAGTTCAAAGGTTACAAAAAAA